GTAGATGTAGATAGATAGATAGATAGATATAGAGGTGTAAGTAAAATAATAATAGGTACTAGGCCGAGGTATCACATAACTTTATTACCTCTGTATGGAATTTAGCACAGCAACTAGTCGCTGCGCTCTAAATGGTGATTTGAGGTAACACTTTCGCCCCAAAATGGCCTCCTGTCATGAATCTGATTTATATATAGAACAGGAGCAGAGAGGGGGGGAGTAGGATAGAAAGAGAGAGAAGAGCAAGGCGCTATTGGGACATGCTTTGTGGGGCTGGGGTGGGGTAGGGAAAGTACACATGCTCACTCATAAGTAGGTTGTTCAAGCTTTAACATGAGGGGAGGAGTGTGTGTGTCTATGTGCCTACAGGTTTCTGACGGTGATATTATGAGTGAAAATACCTGATGAGGCACATCGGCTGGGCTGAGGGGTCAGACACAACACACACACTGTGACTAACACGTAGACACGTAGACCCTGGACCGCATCAGTCTGTATGTGTGTGTCTGTATCTATGTCTGTTTTGGTGTCAGAGTGTGTTTCCCTGCATGAGAACTTGAAGTTGTTTTTGCTAAACAGAGCCCAAACAGAGCTGTGGGCCACTGTATGTTTTCTAGCTGGGGGTAGAGTGAGTGTTATATATAGTGTTTAACAGGGGATGTAGAATAACAAAATACGTGCCTACAGCTAACACAGCTAACATAGCTAACACAGCTAACACAGCTAAAACAGCTAGCATAGCTAATACAGCTAACACAGCTAACATTGCTAACACAGCTAACATAGCTAATACAGCTAAACAGCTAACACAGCTAACACAGCTAACATAGCTTATGCAGCTAACATAGCTAACACGGCTAACACAGCTAATACAGCTAATAATCACACGCCTCAGAAAAGATACTGTAGGTTAACAGCATGAGGGTTAGGAGGTATAGGGAGAGCTGGAAGGAATGGAGGAGAGAGGAGAGAGAGGGAGGAGGGAAGGAATGGAGGAGAGAGGCAAGAGAGGGAGGAGGGAAGGAATGGAGGAGAGAGGAGAGAGGGGGGAAAGAGGGTGATGGGATGGGGGCAGATATTCGGACACAATAAAGTGAGCGAGAGAAAAGACAGAGATAAAGGGATGATAGTATACAGTATATAAACAGATAAGTGAACGACAGAAGTATAAACATGCAGATAAAGGTGACAGTCTGTTTTAGATCTGGTAGATGAAGCTAAAACAGTACACACTAAGAAAACCTCAAGGGTTCTTTGGGAAGGGTAATGGTTCTATGTGTCACGACTTCCCCCGAAGCTGCCTCCTCTCCTTGTTCGGGCAGGCTTCGGCGGTTGTCGTCACCGGCCTTCTAGCCACTGCCGCTCCTCATCTCATCATTCCATTGTTTTTTCACGCATTACTGCGTAACTCTGTATTTGCGGAATAAAGCCTGTTATTCTGTGAATTACCCTCCTGCACCTGACTCCTTCGACATCACCTCAACACACTATGTGCAACCATAATGACTCAAAGAAACCTTTCAGCCCTTTGCAGTGCACAAAATGGTTATTTGCTCTTTTAGTGATAATTAAAAACTAGGGCGGGGCTCATTCAAATATTTTGGGGCGTGGGTTGCTCACTGATTTTTTTGTGCAACAGTGAGTGAGAGTGTCATTCCAGTTCTTCTAATCTGCTGTGTTAATCCATTACATGTTAAATATGACTATGGCCAGTGACAGTGTCTTGTGAAAGACTCATGTATGGCATTGTGTAAATTGAGAACTGTTGTCTTAATTAGTGGTTCTCAATTCTCTCATGAATCCCCAGCCGTTCCAGAGCTAGCACACCTGATTCAACTTGTCAACTATCACAATCATAATTTTAACAATATAAAATGGCTAACTATTCTCTATAAAGGTTCTATAAAGAACTATTAAAAAGGGTTCTATATTACACCAAAAATGGTTGTAACGATAGTGGAGCCCTTTTTCGGTGCTATATAGAACCTTTCTTTAATAGTTCTTTATAGAACCGTAAGAAAGGGTTCTTTATAGCACCATAAAGGTTCCATTTAGAACCTTCTGAGCATGGTTCTTTATAGAACCTTTAAAAAAGGGTTCTATATAGCACCAAAAAGGTTTCTGATATGGTTACGAGCCAAAGAACCCTTATTTGGCACTATATAGAACCATTTGTTTTAAGGGTGTAGCAGCCGTAAGTGTGTGTGTGTTTAGTTTTGCCTTTTTAGATAGATCTGATAAGCAGGACAGCCACAGGCTGACAGTCCTGGGAGCAGGCAGTCTCAGCTCTTCACACACTGAGGCAGAAACAGCCACACACACTGCCGCCCAATACAACTACACACACACACGCGCGCACGCACGCACTCAAATACGTACGCACGTGCGCACACACACAAACACACACACACACACACAATATAGCCACTTTTCATATTTCAACTTCAGTTTGGGCCGTGTTTGTGTAATGAGTAATGAACATTAGATAATCTCAGCAAAAATGTATATATTACAAGAAAATGTTGTATTATCAATGTGCCATGCAAATCTTCCAGTGGGAATGAACGCCTGTTATGTTTGTGACAGGTACTGTATGAGTTACAATACACCTCTCCTCTCAGGGATGTCCACTGTCACTCCACACAGGTTTACGATCTCTGCGTGTGTGTGCGTGTGTATGTGTCTCCCTCGGAGTGTGTTCTGGTCATGTCGGTCTTCGTTTTTTAAATTTCTCTCTGTCTCTGATAGTTTTCCCACAGGACCGAAGGAGAAGAGAAATCCCCACCAAACAACACACTTAACTACACATATTCAATGTAACATACACATGTGAAAACACACATCTGTGACACAAACATGCCCCTATACACCAACATGTCCCTATACACCAACATGTCCCTATACACCAACAAGTCCCTATACACCAACATGTCCCTATACACCAACATGTCCCTATACACAAACATGTCCTTATACACCAACATCTCCCTATACACAAACATCTCCCTATACCCCAACATGTCCCTATACACCAATGTGCCACTATACACCAACATGTCCTTATACACCAACATGTCCCTATACACAAACGTGCCCCTATATACCAACATGTCCCTATACACCAACATGTCCCTATACACCAACATGTCCCTTTACACAAATATGTCCCTATACGCAAACATGCCCCTATACACCAACATGTCCCTATACACCAACGTGTCCCTATACACCAACATGTCCCTTTACACAAACATGTCCCTATACACCAACATGTCCCTATACACCAACATGTCCCTTTACACAAACATGTCCCTATACACCAACATGTCCTTATACACCAACATATCCCTATACACAAACATATCCCAATACACCAACATGTCCCTATACACAAACATGCCCCTATACACCAACATGTCCCTATACACCAACGTGCCACTATACACCAACATGTCCTTATACACCAACATGTCCCTATACACCAACATGCCCCTATACACCAATGTGTCCCTATATCCAAAATGTCCTTATACACCAACATGTCCTTATACACAAACATGTCCCTATACCCCAACATGTCCCTATACACCAACATGTCCCTATACACCAACATCTCCCTATACACAAACATCTCCCTATCCACCAACATGTCCCTATACACTAACGTGTCCCTATATACAAACATGTCCTTATACACCAACGTGCCCCTATACACCAACATGTCCCTATATATCAACATGTCCCTATACACCAACATTTCCCTATACACCAACATGTCCATTTACACCAACATGTCCCTATACACCAACATGTCTCTATACACCAACATGTCCCTATACACCAACATGTCCCTATATATCAACATGTCCCTATACACCAACATTTCCCTATACACCAACATGTCCATTTACACCAACATGTCCCTATACACCAACATGTCTCTATACACCAACATGTCCCTATTTACAAACATTTCCCTTTACACAAACATGCCCCTATACACCAACAAGTCCCTATCCACCAACATGTCCCTATACACCAACATGTCCTTATACACCAACTTGTCCCTATACACCAACATGTCCATTTACACCAACATGTCCCTATACACCAACATGTCTCTATACACCAACATGTCCCTATATACAAACATTTCCCTTTACACAAACATGCCCCTATACACCAACATGTCCCTATCCACCAACATGTCCCTATACACCAACATGTCCTTATACACCAACTTGTCCCTATACACCAATGTGCCCCTTACACCAACATGTCCCTATATACCAACATGTCCCTATACACCAACGTGCCCCTATACACCAACATGTCCCTATACACCAACATGTCCCTATACACCAACATGTCACTATACACCAACGTGCCCTTATACACCAACATGTCCCTATACACCAACATGTCCCTATACACCAACATGTCCCTATACACAAACATGTCCTTATACATCAAGATCTCCCTATACACAAAAATATCCCTATACCCAAACATGTCCCTATACACCAACATGTCCCTATACACCAACATGTCCTTATACACCAACTTGTCCCTATACAAAAACGAGCCCCTATACACATACATGTCCCTATACACCAACATGTCCCTTTACACAAACATGCCCCTATACACCAACATGTCCCTATACACCAATGTGCCACTATACACCAACATGTCCCTATACACCAACATGCCCCTATACACCAATGTGTCCCTATATCCAAAATGTCCTTATACACCAACATGTCCTTATACACAAACATGTCCCTATACCCCAACATGTTCCTATACACCAACATGTCCCTATACACCAACATGTCCCTATACACCAACATGCCCCTATACACCAACGTGTCCCTATATACAAACATGTCCTTATACACCAATGTGCCCCTATACACCAACATGTCCCTATATACCAACATGTCCCTATACACCAACGTGCCCCTATACACCAACATGTCCCTATACACCAACATGTC